AGCACACAATTTATTTGTAATGCCAGATGTTCGTATTTTGTAAAATTGCACGGTCGAATTTAATCCAAACAAATATATTGAAATATACACTTAAACCTTAATACCAGCTATACGGTAAAACAGTATAATCTCAACTCTCGAATGCAGGACGGAAACTCGTAACATCGGTCGATATAAAAAAAGCTCTGCACAAAGAGTAAAGCCTTTGCTACGATAAATCACCATCAGTAAAATTGCTGAAATGACATATTTTCATTATTTTCACTTACTATTAATACGAAAGGGTTAAATAAGATTGAAATTCATAGTTATATTCCACATTCGCTAAAGATGTAGTATAAAATTATAGCAATAAAGTTGTATTATTTTTAAGCGATGTGTGGAGTATCGTACCAAACTTTTCATATTTAAGTTTCTAAGTTTTTTTAGAAATAGCCCCAACGCAAGCAAAAACGAAGAACAAACGAATGTAAAGTGTAAACGCGCAAGCTATGCTAAACCGGTTCTTTTAAACATATTAGACTCTCTCCACGATTGAATAATTACATGTGCATATCAGCAAATACTGTTTGAAACATATACTAAAATTTACACTAAGTAACAATGATCAATATGTCGGTCTTTTGAGTTTTGTTTCAATAAACTCAGTCTTCAAAAGAAAACACAGCATGTCAAACAACAAATTAATACAGGCTACACAGTATCCATCAATATTTCATTTTTGAAATATATTTGATACACACACAATTAAGTTCTTAATTACAGATTGAATAAAAACAATCGGAAAAGAAAGCAAACCTAGCCCTTTGTGTACACGAAAAGTGGACCCTTTACAAGCATAAATTAGCATGTTGGCTGTTTTCATCACCCCAAGATGAAGTATAGTATAGTACATTTTTAAAGTCGGGTTAATTAGAAACGTTTTAAGAGCGCCCCTACTTCTTACATTTGGTCATACTTGAATTACGTGATCATTAATTTAAGCGGAAATAAATCAGAGAATTCAATTTCAGCACTATTCGGTTATTTTTTCCTTCAATAAATCACTACTTCCAGTTTTTTACTCAAAACGTGTCAATTTTCCAGAAATAAATTTTGTACACAAAATACATATTTACAAAATGAGGTAATGCAACTTGTTACCATCCATAAAACAACTATTTCAAAATTTAGCGTCTTACGCAGACCAAATCCGTTCTTACCTGACAGCAAGGTTTTAAACTCTTTTGTAATCACATAGCAAACAAACTGTTATTTATTTTCAAGGTGATCGGGATTGTTTATTCTTTGCAACCTTAAAACTTTGAGTTTAGCTGCATTACAACTTGTGATTATCTCAAAAATCTCAGTTTAAACGCAAAGATGAGAGATGACGCTTGAAAAATAAATCCAGAATGGAATCACTGATATAGAAATATTGAAAAATAACATAACCAAGGTTGACAATACACAATTCAAATGGACAGATGTTCGTATCGCATATTGGCTAATTTAACATCTGTGCATGGTTTACGAAGTTTAGTTTTCAAGATGCATTCAAATGTTTTATACAAATTTACAATAAACTTCAAATGAGTTGGGTGAGAATGGGCTAAGCCAAAATACACATCCTGAAACGTCAAAGTACTTTGGCCTAAACAGCTAAAAAGTAAGTTATAATTATTTGAGGAAGCAAACGTCAAAACAATTAATAATGAATAGCATTTTCATTACATGATGTGGTATACATACTCCGCTCCAACTCGGAGTTCAGGAAGGTAATTTTTAACGTCTCGGCTTTACTTCCTCGTACTTAGTTTCATCCGAATCTGACTTGATATCACAAGTTTCGTAGGGATTTATATTTTCATATGTTTTCCTGCTGTTTTCGTCTTTTTTGATTGTCGACATTGGTTCTTCGTAACACGTGGCATCGTTTTCGTAGGTGTATGGGGACTCTGGTTGAATTTGTTTAGAACTTGATGAAGCGACGCTTGATATGAATGTGGTTTCATATGGACTAATAGCGGGAGCATCTCCGGATCGTTGTTGCGTGGCTGATTTTATTTTCTTGTTACTGTTCCTCTTTCTAGTTAAACAAATACCTTTGAGCTGAGTTGAGTTGAAAATTTAATTCTTGTTTAATTTAATTTTTTGTAGCTGATCCCGAAATGATGTAGAAACATAAAAGATATATATAATAAAGATATAGTATTCTGTTGAAATTGAATCAAAATATATTATACTAATAAAAAAATTAAAGGAATATTCAAATGCATACCGTCTAATTATCCAAAAAACTAACAACACCGCAACAATTATGATTCCGATGCAAGTGACAGTAATAGCAATCGTCGTGTTGGTTGCTAAAATTGTATGTAAAGAAGATTACAAAATGACAGTATCAGCATTTTATTCATAATTCTATGCATTATTAGTACTATGAAATAGTTTACTTACATTCCTCTGTCGTTGCTGTTTCTTTTATGAAGTGGGATACATTGCTGAATTTCAACATTACTGCGTTGTCGTCTCCCGGAGATGCAGATATCGTAAAGTAACTGAAATGAAAATAGCAGTAAACAATGTCCAATTATTTTCAGGTATTGTCATATATACTGATAGTTTCCTTATTTCTACGAGTCCGCAATGTCCGCAATAGGTTTTAACATCAAAAACAATACCGACTCGACGTCAAGTCATTATACTTTTGTGCTACTTTAGATATTTGAACTTGCCATCGCAGGCAGGGATAAACCACTAGCAGGACATAACAATTTATTTTTTGTATTCACCTGTATTCTGCGCCATCTTCAAGTTTTAGGTTATTTCCTTTTATTTCAATTTTGGTGGCTGCTTCTCCTTTTGTGCGAACTGCATTTATATTAGCGATAACAATGCATGACGACACAGTATCATCACCTAGATTTTTTGAAATCGTACGACTTTGCGCATCTGAGATATCTGACCTTGAAATAAAGACAAATTATAAAAAATTTAATCTAAACTCTGGATATAATCACTACATTTCGGTTATTTTTTATCATTCGTATACTTTTAAAATAAATTTTTGCTATATATTTTTCTTCATTCGAAAACTTGATATTTTTTGTTTCTGATTTTTTTACCTCCAAATATTATCTTTTTTCGCGTTTGTCAGTACAAAATAATGTGTTATTGAAGAAACATCCCATTATCCACACAGGTTTAGTGCCTATTCATATTAGACATGCTTGTGTACATGCGGGTTGGCTATTAATCCCAAAATAATAATTTAATACCTTGTCATTGCAAAGGCTATATAAGCTTCATTTTCATTAACTTCTGTTTTGGCAAGTTTGACAAGATCATCAAATGTTTTTATCCATTGATTTGAAGTGTTGTAAGGTTTGTAGGCAAGAATCAGAAATAAGCAACTGTTAATTAAACAGTGAAATAAAGTTTGACACTGTTAAAATTTCACTCAAATTACTGTCATAAACTGAGTTTAGGTCAATTTAAAATGTCTATATGTGAATCTCTGACCAATTTCTCGAAAATATTTTATGCGATCAGCCCCATTAAACAGCTGATAAACAATGAAGGCATGCAAATTGTGTATGTCATGTCACATTGTATAGTGAGGCTATTGACTGAATTTTTTGTATCAACCAAACGACAACAAAAAATCACTATGCACTATCACTATGCTATATCTTTATATCTTTGTAATCTTTCTCATCTACTGTAGTTTGGTATATTTTCCATCAATGTTCACCTTATTGGTCCATTACTTTCTTCTGGGAATCGTATCGTGACACCGACATCTCCGTCTTTAGTTGATTTTACTATCGCTGGTACGTGAACTACATCGGGTGCTGAAAAATACTAATGTTAATTCAACCAAGGCATACAATTTTAACTAATTATTAAAAGCCCCTGTGCCCATCGTTAATTGTTCCTTCATCCGCAATCAATTGTTAATAAAGGTTAATCAATGAAAAACCAACTTTTACTCGACATAGTATTTTAACTGTTATGTGGTAGACCGGTGAATTTCATATAAGTATACTTCATACTGTGGAAGATCTTTATTAAATAGAGATACCACAAAACATCGTTAAAAGTTTGATGGGGATTTTAAATAATAAATTTTACTACGTTTGAAATGTTGATATAGTTTCCTTTTTGAATTTATATCGCTCCATTTTCTAAACCGACAAAAAGGTCGTGAAATTATTTAATTTCATTCATAATTGTGCACAGCATGCTGTTGTTATTTGCGCTGCGTTAATAACGAGACATATTTTTTCTGTCAACTCACCCCCTCTTTCTGTGACACAACTTCCCAAAACATCGAACATTGGACCGTGACCAGTACATGTCACTGCCTGGATGCTAAATGAATACTTTCTGTTGAAGGAATAAGCAAAGTCTACGTGGTTCGGGTCTGTGGCTGCATTGAGCTCTTCTATATGTGGCCCATTTGGTTCAATTGCTGTGTAGACAAGAACTGACATTGCGCGTATCTGCAAATGACATTGTTACAAAAATAATCTCAGCCTGTTCATAAAACTTCTGGCATTTTTTAGAATAAGCTTGAAGGTCGTTGGTGAGCAAAGAATACAAATTTGGAATTTCAAGAATACTAAAGATATTGAAATACAAAGACAAACTTTGAATCCAAGTATTTCATATTTTGTTGCATCAACTTTCCAAGATATTAAACAAGATTTGTTCTGTGTTGTTTTCGTTACATAAGCTTCAATTGCCAAAATGTTAGAAGCAATCAAAGCTTTTGTTCTTATTTTTCTGCTTGTTACAAATGGATGCTCACACTCAGTTGGACAAACAGTCATCTGAAATAGGAAAAGATTATATATGATATGATTTGGGTAAATTAAAAAGTAAAATGTCGTTACACATGGAGGTGGTCCACGAATATCTCTCATTTGGTTTTAACAATATTGCGCGGATATTGTTTTCATGACCTCAGCGTACGACTATATTTTTTCGTAAAAAGGGACTTGGGACAACCGCGCTAAAGTCTGTTGCTTACTCCCGGTTTCTGCTCCACTCTACGGTACTGAAGCCAATTGTTATAGTCAAATATTCTCTGTAACAATATTATTAAGATTGTTGATTAGATAAGGAATAAGGCTTTTACGTGACCCTATTGCACTTGATTGTGAACATGTGCAGTACTAATTATCATTTGCATTCTGATACATGAAACATCAATATCATACGATTAACATTATCCCTCAAATGTAATTCTCTAACGTAACTGCAGTTTGGTAGCTTAATGGAAAGCTGAAATTGATAATAAAATGATTTTGATAATCAAATATAATACACACATGCTTCTATATAAACAAGCTTGTAATATGTCTGTTTAATATTTATTTTGGAAATACTTACCCGGATAAGATACGTTGTAGAATAATTTAAGTTTAATAGCCTCAATGACATCAAATTTTCATGGGAAGAAACAACATCTGTCCTCCAGTTTTGCAAGGTCGTATTTGATTCTTCATGGATGACGTCGATTCTGTAAAATATCAGAACAAAATTAATATTGTGCGATAAAACTCAAATCTGAACTGCAGTGGTAATTTGCATTTAAATTGGAAACCTAACTAATAAATTGAATTATGTATGAAATAACCTGTGTAAAACTCCAACTGCTTCTGCTGAAGTAAACCACCTGAGTGTTATATTACTGCTACATTCGTCTACTGTTGCACTGAAATTTTTTGTGATGTCAGGAACTGCAATAGAAATTGATGAATTAGTAATAATAAAACTCATTGAATAAACTCTAGATTTCAATCGCAGGAAATGAGGCAAAAATATCAAACTGTGAGACTGAAATGTGAGTTGGCGCATTCGCGGCGCAGGAAAACAGGAAATATGCAGATCATGGAAGAATAAGCCAAATGTATAAAATGGTTTCGTTAAAATTGCATATTTTTCAAGCACAGTAATGTTGTATAATGTATATATATATAAGACAAATTTGATTTATTAAATTTGTAGTCAAATCGGATAGCGTACAAGACAAAGTGTAGTTTATGTGATTTATTCCAACAAGATGATTCAGAGGAAGTGAAAATATCATTATGTAGAAAACTTACTTGTACTTTCACAAATGAAGCCAATAATTGATGTACAATATGCATCAGTCCATTCCCACTGATAATCCGATCGCAAAACTAGACAAGATACATCATAATAGGGCCTTCCTTGATGCCAAGCAACATAATTTCCATCCACGAAACCTTCGTCCTGCATCCATCTAAACATTTCGATTTTTTTAATGATAGACATAGATCAGAGCTAGTCAACCTGTTTTGTTTTAAAATGCAATCTTCTATTCTTTACTCAAAAATAAGGTACACCCCAACCATCCTGCAATTTAATCGGACAAACACAAAATGTCTAGGAGATATACATGATTGCACTGACACAATACTTATTACTTATCGGTCTTGATCGGCAAGTATGTTGATAAGTATTTGTTTGTTGTTTGTTTGTCTGTCTGCATGTTAGATACACGCGATATCTCACGAAAGCAAAGTTGAACCTGCTCCAAATTGTGCATGTGCACGGACCAGAAGCCTATTGATTTTGAATGAGTTATGTCATATAATTAGCGAGTTAATAAATAATTAGTGATGGGACACATGGTGTCGCTATTGAGTCGAAGCAAAGGATACACGCCGCTAGATCGATAAGTCGACCGTCTCTGTTTGCTATCTCGGTTATTTGTGTAATGCGAATGTTGCTCTTGAATTTCTCTTGGACAATGCGAGGTAATAACTATGATTTGAGTTCCCGTGCATATATTAGTGACTTTTCATTTACATTCTCAATTGATCATCTTTTTATTGGACACGTACAGAACCTATGAATCGTTTAGATATTATGTTGCGTGACGGCTGATTCTGAAAATTCTCGCTACTCGAAACCTGGAAGTTTTTTGAGGTTACCGGTAATGCTGAAGGTAAGGTAAACTACAGCAATACTGCTTCGCTTGGTGTCAATATATTTGTATGCTGTGGTACCTGCTGTTATAATACCGTAGTAAATCGAATCAGTTGGTATTTTAATTCACGTTAAAACGGAATCTTCACAAGACCTCGAAAATCCCTGTACTGGTCTATCTGTCTCACAAACCAGGAGCGTCTGGCACGTCGTGTGTCCAAAATTGCGGCTTTTTGTTGAAACTCTCTAATGCTGAGGTAGTAAATATTTTCTCCGGTGAATCGGATTATTTTTTCACAAGGGAATTCCATGGTGACGTTTTTAGATTGCGTTATTTTAGATTTTTGTGCGGTGCTGGTTTGCCCATATGGAGTGCCAAACTGTCTCGTAAAAAGCGGGTCTTGCACCCACTGTTATAATTAATGTATTTTAATGTGGGGGCTTTTCTTGGAATCGGTAAGCTGTGCCGTGGTAGGTAAGTCACCGTATTGTAGCCATGAAACTGTTTCACTGTTCAGCTTCGTTTAGGAAACCCTATGATTTTCTGTGAATTGATGATAAAATACTTCGTTTTGGCTCAAGTGTCCATATATATTCGAGCATAGCTTTCTTGGTATTTTTATGAGTACAGAAGACACAATTTCGGATGTAAACAGAAAGCAACTTTAGTAGTGCCACTGGAATTTATTGGACTTTTTAAGTCTTTTGAAATCTGTCATTTATACCAAATCGGATCGTAATTCAAGTTGTTCTCCGGCAATTATTTCCACAATAACAACAGAATTTCACTAATGCTGAGAAAATTCAAAACCAAATGACATTTCCCCACTCTATCCAAACCATTTTCCGATTCATAGTCAAGGCAATCTTGTTATAATTTGATTGATAGCATAATGCAAAACTACAAAGCCACGTGTGTGATTGAAAGCGCTCATATCTCTGTTTTACTGTTTTATTTGGTATGTTTTATTTGTTAATTTTTGCTTCGACTATTTTCCCAGAACGTCTATTTATTAATATATCACGTTTCATATTGCAAAAACTTTTTGATTGAATTTGTGTAGAAGGAAAATATTTACTAACTTTCCGTGCTTTGTCTCGTTGTAAAACAATGAGTTATCCTTCCATCTCCATATTTCACAGCTGTCCTCAATTTCCCTTTTTGCGCCCACGTATACTGTCGATCAAAAAGAACGGAATTGGACTGGTTTAACCATCACCAACCGTCGTCAGATTACATATGATATATATAATATTTCATTAAAATATCGAATTTTATTGATGCTTACTGTTTGATGCAAACCCGGTTCGATCAATCATTGATTTCAGAGAAGCTTGGGTTTCGCTGCCGGATATTTTTGCCAGACGACTTCCAGTAGAATAGCAAAAGTGTTCAGCGCCAGAAATGTTTCTTTTTTCCTTTTCTATTTTCCCGAATAATTTATACAACTTTCCAGCAGATATCGCAACATCTAAAATTATACATTCGGAATAACCATGTTTAATATTTTTTTTTGAAACCGCATTTTGGATTAAAATAAGATTACCCAAGTATTTCGATTGTATAATAAAATAGTGAAACAAGATATCCCAACGTCTAAAATTTTACTTTTATATAAAACATGTTAATGATAATATATATGCGTGTGATAATATTTGTTTTCTATGATCTCTCTTCGAGAAAATTCAGATTCTCGACTATTTCTATTTTTTTACAAATACTAGACCGCAATTACTATATACAAAAAAAGTGGAGATGAATAGGAAAACCTCAAACTCTTTTTCACAACTTCGAATTAATATAAAGCTCAATAAGCAGTACTAGAACAAACATGGTATAATACTAATTACATACCTTTGTTCACTTGAAAAGCCTTTTCATTTGACGAGTTTTCGAATTCATTCCAGGCGGAGCAGATAACTTCGATTGTCCCTAAATATTCGGATAATGGAATGTATAATTGGCTCGAGTTTCTGATCGGATGATTGGCAGGTTCAGCCTGATTCTGATATCTGAACACTGATCCGGAATGATTTGGAAAAATCTTCTGATAATTTCCCTCTCTTTTGAATTTCCATTCTATTTTGGGAGTCGGAAACCCTTCCAACGTGCACATTAGTTGAAGAGATTCCGAGGTGCTGCTCGGCAGTGTTACTGATGAGTTGACGAGAGTAACTTTGGCTGAAAACAATAAAAAATTACTTTTTAATGAATAAATTTTGTAAATTTTTGTGAACATTGTTTTGAGTAATAATAAATGATAATTCATTGGTCCTTGAGGTTCACAAGTAATTTCGATATGATTATAAAAATGTAAGTAGATAGTAATAAGTTTATATATTGAAAATATGTAAAGCGACGGGTAAAACTTCTAACCTCTAACGACTGCTGTAGAATTTGCTGACTTTTTAATTCCTTGTATCGTATTGGTTGCAACGCAGGTGTATTTACCGGCATCGGAAATATTTGCTTTCTGAGCATTGAATTCAGCATGAGTTTTATCTATCCGCTGATATACATTGGATGAAGAACTTGTGGTGATAAGTATTGAATCTTTGTACCAACGAATAGTTGGTGATGGTACGCCGGTTGCGTAACATCTGATAGAATTTGGGCTTGTTCCAATGAAGATATCTGTTGGTTGTAGATGACTTATTGTAGCTCCAGCTGAATTTGAATTAAAAAAAGTATATTATTTTCCGAAGTGGAAGATTGAAATTTTGCAATTGGAGATTAAATCTGGCGTTCATTGATTTTTATTCCAATGAGGCCATACGATTACTTGTATTTTGGTATTTATTTCGTACATACCTTCAATAACGACAGTTAGCGATGTTGATATGAGATAGGCACCAAGGTTGGACTCGGGGTCCGCGCGGAAAGTATATATGGTTCTTTCGCTGGGATTCGTAAAAGGGCCAAGCTTGATTTCATCACTTGTTCCAACATTTCGTTTGGTCAAAATCACATTGTTGAAGTTTACATTTCTGAAGGCTTGTATTCTCACCAGACCGTGATTGCTTTGAATATTCAGCGTTACTGTGATAGATTCCCCGATGTTCGCAGTGTAATTTCGTTTTGTAGAAGAGATTGAAATTGGAGCTGCAATTCAATTTCACGTTATTCATAATTTGCATAAAAGAATATAAGTGGAAGATTTTAGTTTTGAAGGATAAAATTTTCACGCCAGTAAAGTAAATTATACAAACAAATGTAAAAAAAACTAGGAAAACGAAATTATCTCAGAAGAAGATAGTTTAATAGGCAATTTCAAATTTGTGAAGTAACACAATATACACCTGAGAAATTTTTGTAAGTTGTTTAGCAAAACTACCAACTATGCTGGATTATATTATCAAAACACAAAAAAAAATTATGTCATATGCGAGACATACAATTTGAAACTGCTTTGACCAAACTTACTTGTCTCGCAATTATTTCCTGTAAAACCATCCAAACATTTACAACTTCTTTGACACCCAATACTCGAGCAGGTTCCCCAGTAAAGACAAGGAGACGGAGAGCACAAGTTAACGGCTTAAAATAATAAATATTTTTTATTGCTGTATCAAACAAATTGTTAGTTTTCTTGCATTATCACAACTTAGTGTTCAATTTCCTTAGAAAAATAAAATGGTTTTGAGTGCATATCTATGATATTATTTATGTTTGTCATAATATGCTTAATTAATGCCTCAGCAATGTAGCCAACCGACTCGCAATCAAACATAAGGATGTAGGTAAAAAGAGTCGCTTCAAGTAGATATCGTGCGCTTGGTCAGAGAGAGGATTGAGGAAGTTCATCTTTTAAACTTTAGAGGTTTGTCCAGTAGGAATATGCGCGAGTTTGTGCGCTAGAAAGCAGTGCGCCCAACAATTATACGTCGGCAAGCGGTTAGCGCGTGAAACCAAAATATACTAGTGGAACGGCTACAAAATATTTAAATTATAAATGAAGCAATGTTTTTCAGCAGAATATAAATCTAGAAAAAAAAAATCAACTAACTAATTTATACAAAGGAAGAACGCAATTCTTCAAAAATAAAGACGAATTTCAAAAGTGAGTTTAAATTTATTTCGCAAGACTTGTTAAAAATAATAAGAACACATTAAAAAATAAAGACCGCATGGTAGCTTATATCTTATACAATAGTAAACTAAAACTTACTTGAAACTTCGCAAACATATCCCCGCTTTGAAGTTCCGTCATTATTAAACCATTTCATACTATATCTCGTGGTCGCATAAGAACTCATATACAAACACCCATTTCCTTGGCTTACTGCAAACCACGCCCACTTTCCATCAGTAATAGGCGTATTGTCAAGCCATTCCCAAACTGCATTTGGTTTATAACCTCCAATCCAGAATGAAATTATGCCTCCTCCTTCACCATATTGATCTATTATTTGACTTTCAACAAAATCTTGTATTGAATCTGTTTTCATCATCGCGACTGCTCCTTCAAGACTATTGCAAGTTGTATTTGCTTCAGCGAATGTTATTTTTTTGTAAAAGTTGACATGATATTTGCAATCTTCATTAAATTTATATTTTAATTCTGCAAAATAAAATTTGACCAAAAGAACTTAAATTGCACTTTGTTGATTTTTCAAAGCAACTATTTGATATCAATGCTTTACTGATTGCATCAGGATTCTAAATACTTAAAATTGAGTCGAAACAACTATTAAAACTAAAACGACACAACATGAAAGTAATTTAATCTGAATATTTGTTTCCTGAAATTCATTAAAAATTACAACTCTGTTAATGCGATTTATTGGCGGTACAATACCTATGAATGCAAAGTATTTTTTTATTCAATCACGATTATGCGTCATTTGTCACTTCAACGCATTATAAATGTATATAATCCAACAAGAGTTTCATATATTATTTACCTTCACATGTAGTTCCATTGTATTCTGGTTGACAAGTGCAATTGTAATATGGCTCTGCAGTCGAATATTGACAGGTTGCCCAATTTAAACAAGGCGATGAATCGCAGGCATCTAAAAAAATTTATACAAATATTGGTATTTACTTTGTCCAAATTGGGATTAATATTAATTTTAAGATTGAGAGAGAAATATTAATGTGAGTTTTCTATGAAAATATATCGTAAACTGTTACAGACATCCATTATGTTCAAATGAAAAAGTAGAAACACCAATTTGATCAAATATGTCAAATTTATAAAATCATAGGTTCATTCCATATAGTTGCAGCCGATGTACAACGATCAAAATATAAAGAGCCAACGCAAAAACATTTAGTCTTCGGCAGGATAAACAATCGTTCAGACGAAATCAACTCAGCTATCATGTGTATTATGTCTACAGCAGTGTTTGTATCGTTGAATATGCTGATACAGATGACACGTGTAAACACAATTTTTTTTTCAATTCCACATATCATGAACACAATATATGCTTTGTAAAGCAAATAAAGGTCATTTATATACATACCAGTAACCACCAACGTCAGAACAACTACTCTCGAGTAAAAAAGTTTGTGTCCCTGTGGACTAGCTTCAAACTTGTACGAAAAAGTTGTCGATGAAACTTCTATGGGACCAATGCTGATTGCCAACGTTGTTGAAGGATTGCTGCTACTGATATTGCTGGTCGTAACGGATTTGATTTTTACGTTATCCTGATTTCTAACGACAACATTAACGTTTCCATCATATGATGTAATGTTGAGTTGAACATCGATGCTTTCTCCTCTTTTCAAACTTACTTTTCCTTTTGCTATGGAGATTGTTATAAAATCTATAAAATATATTAGACGAACATTTAATTAATGCTATATTCGTTATTGACATATAAGACATATAAACGAGAATATCGGTCAGAGACCGAGGACTTATCGATCGAAAGTTAGGGGATTCTCCAAAACAGAAACTGCGGTTTCGATTCGAAAAATCCTGCAAACCCGAACTGGATTGTTTTGAATAGTTTTCAGCCAATATCAAAAATGTAGGAAACAATAGCAAACTCCCCTTGTCGTCGTCGAAATACTACTCGAGGAAATACTTTCATGAAGAATTCTGCAAATCTGAACTGGATTGTTTCGATTAGTTTCCAGCCAATAGCCTATTTACCAATCCTATATTTTGTGTCAAATACAACGGCGCTAACCCGGGTTTCGACGGCTATTCAAACACAGCCTAGCGATATTTTGGTGATATTTTGGAATTCTGCGACCCCGAACCTGATAGAGGGATATGGACATTGCTTAAACTTTAAAGAGTAATTATAAGTAACGAGATACGATCTCGCGGTGTGTATCCGGATCTCTTCATCACTAATTAATTAATAACTCGCTAATTATACGACATAATTCATCCAAAATCAATAGGCTATTGGTTCGAGATATGATGAATGCACATGGAAAATTTGGAGCAGATTCAACCACGCCTTCGTATGATATCGCGTGCATCTAACAGACAGACAGACAAATACCTATCAACATACTTACCGATTAAAATCGATAAGTAATAATTACCTTGTACTGTTGGAGATATATTACTTATCAATAAAATTGTCACGTTATTTATTTTTATTAATCAATCTGAATGTGAATATTTGATTTGAATATTTCAACATGGCCATAGCTTTGACTAGATCAGGGATGGCCAATCCACGTCTCGAGAGCCGCATGTGGCTCATGCGTCGGTTTGATGCGGCTCTTTTCGCCTTGTTTTCTTTTTTTGGGGGGGGGGGGGGGGGGGGGGGAATAACGTGCAAACTACGATCCAACTTGTTTTGATTAAATGTATTATGAATTATTGTGCATTCTTCTTTTACGTCGAAGATACATGTTCGGCGACAAACGCGCAGTTTGGAATTTGAGTGAAATATTTGAAGTGCAGATAAAACGTCACAGATTACGTCGTCGACGACACATTTAATTCTGAGATAGATAGTTTGAAATTCCCTGTAGTCTCAGATGAGACCGCAACCGAGCTGTATATGATCGATCTTTATGAAGAAGACCAACTATAATGCGCACATAGAGAAAGGACCATTGAGTTATGGGAAAGCAAATATGAAACGGACTGCGCTGCCAAAATTTAAAGATCATTGCCAGAGTCCCACTGAGTAGCATGCATACCAATAAATGGCTTGTAAATTACCTTTTTCGCATTTTGTTCCAAAATATCCCGCATTACATGTGCACGTATACCGTGATTTCCTAATCATGCAGCTTCCCTTGTTTAGGCACACATCACTACCACAGTTCCCAGATGACACACCTGGGAATATATATAAATATAGATTATATGTAAATATAATATTTGCGGAATATATACAACCATTCAACAAACAACTCATATTTTTTGCAATACTATATTATTTACAATGTTTATTTCACATATATATGAGGATTTCAAACAAATATCAGTTGTAAAATGGAATATGTAGTACTTTCAAGTAGCCTAAATACATCGGTACTATACTATAATATAGAATTATAGATTATACATGTTTTTTACAATGTTCATTTTTACATATAGAATTATACATACTATTTTTCTGCTGCGGTATCGGGAGTCGTAATCACACATATTGAATTTTATATAAGAGTATACATTTCATGTTTTATAAAATATCTTCAGTTGGTCCATTGTTATATCAGAAAATATTAATTCAAATCATTGACAATAAATGTAACAATAATAAATACATTGCTCGGCTATTTATGTTTAATAGAGGTGTTTTCTGGCCACTATTTCATTGACTTACATGTATAAGATCGAAATAAAATTCAACTTTTGTATCAGCAAGATATAATCGTGATTATTTTCTCAATATTTCAAGTATGTTCAAATCTGTGGAATATAAAAATTGACCTTAATTTAGGAAATAGAGTTTGGGTACTCACCCTTCTGACAGATATAACCAGATTTTGTTGTACAACTCGTATCAACCCATTCATAATTGGCCACGGCATATTTCATCAAACAGTTTTCGTTTGTGTTCCCATTTGGCTCACTTCCCCAAAGTGGCCACCTCATCCTAGACTCGCAAAATAAAAAATTATAGACGATAAACGCGTTTATTTTACAAGGAAAGTGCGCAAAAAAAGTATAAAAGCTTAAGGTCAATTTTAGTAATTACTTTTACTCCATTTATTGTAAGGCCTAATTCATATGACATCGGAATTGAATGAGCGCTATTCCTGATGAAACTTCGGTGTGCAATGAGGCAATTCCATGGCAATTTGTTTTAAAAAAGCGCAAATACTGATACAATTTTTTTTTTAATATGAAATACCAGAGAGTTTGATATTATGTATTCTTTGGGCCGAACATACGCTTTCAGAAGAAAAATAAACCACTTATAATCGACGATATCAATGTATTCAATTGGTCATGAATATCATCATAAAATATGGGCTACAGTAATCCCGTGACGCTGAAAATCAAGTGTTGCGGAGAAAGTCTTGTATCTGCGGACAATGCTTGTAGTTGCGTAGTTTATAGTATACTATTGCGATAAATTGTTCGACGCTTTGTATATTCGTAGCCGAGGAAAGAGTTTGGTGAAAACAATGGAAGCTTAGCGCGCGACGGGTTAAGATGAAGAGGTGTACAATATAACAATATAGACAAATGCGCTGAAATTCGATATATATATATATATGCAAACATAAAATATTAAAATCACCAATTTGCATCAGTTTTACTGAAAGTTGTTCCATCTCCCCATTTCCAAATGCCTTCTGTCTCTGAATCACTTCCACTTGTCCAGTAATTAATGGTTCCACTGAAAATTAAACATCTACTCACACTCTACTCAGGTAGCAATTGTTGATTCGCGCATAATTACTGCGTAGACTGTATGCTGGCTAAAGTATAAAACAAGCCTCCGGAATATTTTTAGAATAAAGTTGCGTTTAAAATGCGTCTTAATTAGTAATTCAGATACATTGAGTTATAAAAACTGTATATAATATTTATTGAAACATAAATCAAAACGCCTCCTTGAAAAGTTTTTTGAAATGTAAACAATGTGACAATCGTTCAATGATGATGACAATGACAATGATGTGACAATCGTTCAAACTTCATGTACATTAGTGTCAGAATCAAGTGTGTTCGATAAGTAATAGTAATTACCTTTACAACAATACTTACTTCTGAGATAGTTTGGTCGTCAACAGTGAATCTAATGCATTGGTTGTAATAGAAACCAAGCTTTTTCCAATTGCAGTGCAAGCTGATCTCGCATCAGCAAATGATTTCATCGGATCGCTAATTATTGTTAAAGCCAAATTACTGTTATAGAAGATCCAAGTCAGATCTGATTAATAAAAAATCAAGTTTCAGCTGGAAAAGTAATTCTCGATATACATATTTTCATAAACAGAAGATTCTGAATAAATTAGAAATTGCGTGTTTTGACGTTCTGTTATTGTTGTATGTGTTCTAAAAATTCATTCACTTATTTTTATCACATTTTTTTCAATATTGTTGCAGATTTTCTTGATTTTTACTAAAAAAAATTATAATCTCGAAAACATCATACATTTTTGTTATGCATTAGAAATAGCCTATGTGACGAGTTAACAAAGGAAAGTCACTTTAAAAACCTATCAAATTTAGCCCAAAAATGTGAAAGAGAACGTTCAACTAAATACATATATATATTTTTAATATATATATTAGCAGTCACATATTATTATGTTCCATATTTTAATATTAATATTCGTATTGTTTGCTTCACATTAGCGAATGGATTCTGCGTTAAATAATGTTTAAATTGGAATTTATAAAAGAACTCGCGTACATGGAATTACTGATAACTTTAACTTACCCGATTGACATACATACCGCAACCCGACTTTGCAGTCACTGTTATACCATTTTTTATCTGAAGTTTTAGATGCTCCACAGTGGTTATCATTAATGCTTCGAACAGTTTGCGGATAATTGGTGGCCCTGAAGGAGCAATACAAAAAAATCGATGGAAGCTCAATGAAAATTTTCGTCATATCTTTCGCATGCAGTTTAATTTAGAAACTTTAAGAATAAATATTCCAATATATTCACTGCTTTGTCACAAATTGAAAAAAAATTATCAAGGGAAACATATATATGTCTGTGTTATTTCAATATTCAAAAAATAAACAAAATAACCTTTTTCGGTATTTTACGGTAAAACCTTGTACAAAAGCTAACTAAAGTTATACTTACATGTAAAATCCCAAGGATTGTTAAAGTACTTTTACATCCCAATACCACCCAATCCCGAGTGACTTGTTTCAAATTAAGATTTAGCAGTACTTTTTATTTAGGAGTGTAGCTGTTGAAGAATAATCACTTGGCGTAGACACATAAAATTACTTATGATACCAATTGAATTTTCTTTCATAGGAATAAAGCAAATTTTCAAAGTTGAAATCCGTCACGACATTTAGGAAATAGTTCAGACAAACTGTAAAATTTGAAATCGCTCGATATTCGATTTGAACTGCACTCAACGAACATTTAAAACTTTTCTAGCGTAAATAATATATGTAAATAAAACGAGTACGTATTACATTTCGATTATTTATTATAAATGTACGTCATAGTACAATCTACAAAGACAGTTTTATCAAACAGAGAAAATTTACTCAATGTTTTAAAATATCAACATCATAAATTCATAATAATAATATAGATTTAGAATATACTACACATATAGAAGGTATGAAGTTTGTTTATAATTTTTTCAAACTATGTGTTTAAGAAAACGTATCTGTAGCACGTGCTAACATATTGAATTAAAAGAAAAAAATTCAATTGAATAACTAACCAATTGGTATATCTCAATGAATCCATGTTGTTCCATTTCCATTCGCTGTCATAATGCAAACCGATCCAAATAGTTTGTCTGAAACGAAATTATTTGCTACGCTTCCATCTATTTTTTACATTATTATATGAAATATTTCGTAAAAATAATCCGAGTTTTTAATACGCACATAACATATGTGTTTATAATTGCCCTTTTTTTTATCAAAATTCTTGCAACAACACAAACTACTGAAATAAAATATGTTTTTTTTACACATTTCACTGCGGTTTAAGTTGAATTTTATTAAATCTCAACTCAATATGAACTGTGGAAACATGTTTACTTTATCCGACTGATTCTCTCCCAATTGAAGGTTGTTTGAACTGGGAAACCATAGACCTATGGAAAGCGGAATAAGTTTCGTTTTATGAATGTTTGATGAGCACATATAACTCAATTATATATAATAAGAGAGTTCATATAAGATATCGTTCAAAAGAAAGAACCAATATCAGTTTTGTTTTTACGATCGGAAAAATAATATCTAAGACTGATATATAAAACTCCAAACAAGCATTCGTACATATTTAAAAATAAAGTATTGCGTTTTTTTTTTGAATATTAATGTTACTGACGTCATATTATTTAGTTTATGTTTTGGTATTTCAAACTGCGTATCAAAATCCCAAACTATACTATGTGAATAAAAACATTTATTGAAATATGCTTACGTTGTTAACTGTCTCACTGCATCCTGAGTTTCTTCATCTTTGATCTCAACAAGCCATGTATTTCTTCCTTCACATACAGCCTTGGCAGCATCATATGATTTACCTTCGTTAAATACTTCAAATTTGTAGTTTCGAAAATTTTGCATACCTGAACAGGTAGCAACCATTGTATTCGATATTTATCACAAAGGGAAAAATCTTTTAGAATATTACTTTTATTTGGATAATTAACATTAATATCAGATTAAGCAAAGTATTTATCTATAACAACTGGGAGTTGACATGCAAATAGTTTGAACAGTGAATATAAACAAAATATTCCTACCATACAGAAAAACGTTTAAATATAGCTATTGCTATAAATGTTTGGAAGTTATTTAGCTGCTTGTTTTACTTATTAGGTAGAAAAATTAACAAGTATTTATGATTTGCCCATTTAGGAAATCTAAACCCATTTAGAAACGCCATTATCATCGCACTATACTTTATTTGAAACTTGTTTTTTGTTGAGTCTTATTTATTTGAATAATATTTACTCAATGTAGTAAATTTCAATATAAGTACTAAGACAGAAGCTTGTGAGAAGGAGGTTTAGCTCCTAGTTACATGTAAGGTGCGATATTGCAAGCCTATTTCGTTTTATAAATATCGACGAAGTCAATCATAAGATAGACTACGTACGCAACTACTTAGCAATTAAATAAATAAAATGCATATTATTTACCGCTAAGATCTTGCCCTTGCACGACAATAATCAGAAACAAGAAGATGATGAAGTCAAATACTTTCATATCAATTTTATTATTATTTAGTCATCCGCACATATTCAAATTCGTTATGCTGTCTTATAACAAGAAAGGTATCTAAAGTTAATACAAATCGAAAAAAACCGCGTATGGATTTTTGATTTTACGCAACTTTCATTCACATCCTTACCCTGAATAATTTTAATTTGATGTTACCACATGCATAAAATTTGACAATTTCTTGGAAAGATTACCTGCCTCAATCTAGGTCGGGGGTTCCCAAACTTTTGGTGTCATGGAGCCCGTAAAGAGATGACGATTATTCGCGACGCCATGCAATAAATTTATAAAAATAAAATCAAAAAACACATTGTTACTTACCGATTAATCCTGAGTACATTAAAATTACCGTACCTCATTTAATGAATCGGATGTAAATACTGCTTCATATTGAAAAAATATTTAAATTGTGGCAACTTGTCGGTGATTTGAATGTGGCATTATTCATCGTAACTTATAGATGTCATAATTGCTTCTTTGGACAATTACAAAATTAGCCAAGTCAGTATTTTGATAAGTAAACAAATCGAAACCTCTGGGTTTCTCTCACAGATGCATGGAGCACTTTGAGAACCTATAATCTAACGATAACATAAACCTCACATAATATATATCAATAGGCTTGTAAGTATATATATATAGAACTTCAAAAGAAACACTAAAATACATATAAATTGAAGCAGTAATACATTCAGCGAAATTGCTATATCGCCGTATAAGGACAGAACAGGTAGGTCTAAGTCACAATTTTGAGTTTTGAGAAAAACTCAAAAAACAATTTAAAATTTTTGTATTTTTGAATTTCTAGATATTCACACTTAGTAAAGACCTGAGCTCTGGTTATTTTAATGTGAATGAGAATATCTTTGTAATCAATATTTTTTGGCACTTCAGCTTTAAATCATTCTTGTTTTTTTTACCCCCATGAAGGATTTTGGCCCACTCTGTTCTCAACAACTTCTGAAATTTTTTGTATGGGATGCAAGGTAAAACAAGGTGAGTTAGGCCTGAGTTGCATTGAACAAAGTCTTAAGGTTGTAGATTTCGGACATTTCATTTTTAATGTTTATGCCCATCATATTGGAACTTAGGCTTATCTTTTTTTCAATATTTTGGGGTTTTGAGCTATGCTCTACAACGTGGTGACCTTGAAATCCTGAATGAATTTCTCAATAATAAAAATTTTAGCTGACCTTAGGCCCATTCTGTTCTTAACTTCTACAAAATAACATAGTCCTAAGTCCAGCTAAAATTTTTATTATTAAGAAATTCGGGATTTCATAATCACCACCTACGCATGGCTCAAACCCCAAAATATTGAAAAAAGTGAATTTACCAAAAATGCGACTTAGGCCATATAGCAATGTACCATCAGTCAACAAATCAAGAACATTTCAACCAATTTTTGTTCCTACGACTATTGTTCAAGCAGCATTAAATTCATGACTGTTTTTGTTCTGAATTATGAGATTTTTTTAATGATATTTTACACTAAAATCAATATTTAAACAAAAGTTTGTATTTAAATGTAATGACATTTTGATAGACAATCGCTTTTAACAATAGTCGTTCGAAAGGATAAAAGCGGATAAATACATTTTACGATAATGTAAAACATATGGAACTATATATATACACATTGAATTTGTCTACTTTTGTTGAATTTTCTTTTACGAAAAATAAAAGTTTACCATCTGATGTGTTCAATGTATGGTAAAGCATTAAAACAAATATAAAATACGTTTAATCAATCCTTATGAACCACTAGCAATACATCTTGCAATAGTTTCAATAACAGATTTGAAAATATCACAAGGTTTATTTCTATAAATTCATAGTAAATATTGTACTGTACATTACGTTATGGGTTACGTCCACATGAATGATTTTATACATTTAAAAACAAATTCTCTTTTAACTTTACTTTAAAAAGCTTTTAGACTCGATGAAGTATGACGTTCTACAAATATCAAATGCATATAACTCACCACTTGGATTTTGACTCTGTATGACAATGATCAGAAAATAAAACAAAGTCATCAAGTCAATAATATTCATAGAAATTCTACCATTATATGAATGTTTTGTTATTTTTTACACTGTAATACAACATGAAACGCTGCAAATATGAGTAAATCTGGAAGTATGTTTATATTGGGCCTATTTTTTAATTTACGATTACTCTGCCTGCATCTGTATAAAGACAAATCTTTAGGACCTAGAACAATAATCGCTTTTTTGCCGAAATGATGTCTCATTTTTTTTACGATATAGAAAAATCATTACTAGGATGGCATTTCAAGGAACAATTTGTAAAGACGCCCGATTGCACAATATTTGCGTCATAGCTCGTGTGTTTAATTGTTATCTTTTTTTTTTTAAAAGTGCATGATTTCATAAGAAATAGGAGCCATAATGTCGTCTTGTAGCTAATTGTTATTGCAACTTATAGATCGCTCTGCTGACATACTGTAACAATAGAGCTGAGGCCTAACCTCTGATTGGCCGGGTACGTCGAGTACATTCATTATTTTTGTCTGCATAATCTATTCGTTTGCATTACCTTTGGCTTCAAATCTCGTAAGTTGGAGTAAAGGATGTCATCTGCAGAGGTTTTGTTAAACGAATAGATAAAATATTTGATTATTAGCAACTGTTCGCTCAATCAGGGTAATTCGTGTAAATAATACAATGTATTCCAGCGTCAAAGCATTGAACATATCCGTCAAAAAGCGTCACAATTTTACTACATGCTAGCTTACAATATACGCAAGATTTACAGTAGCATAGCAAAGCAATACGGCGTGGGACTGGAAAGGAAATAATGCGATTTCGAGCACGCCTACCTTCCATGCATACCGTATGTCTCATTGTTTTTATAACTCAGCATCGCAATAGTTTCATTACTTTGAATTTATACATAAGAGGCAAATCAGCAGTTGACTTATTGCTGCACTAAAAAAACATCAGAACTATAACGATGAAAACATTTCATTCCTTTTTATGGTTACACGTTATATCGCTTTCATCATTAAAACTCTTGAAACTCTCTGTAACACAATTTTAACACAAGCAAGTACATAAACCGGCTAGCAATTAGACACAATTGATTACGATTAGTTATAATAAAGACATAAGAAAATTACTTGCACTAACAAGATCCGCAATAACAGAGCACAACACATATTGATGCTTATATATAGCTGGTAAAGTTTTGATATGAAGTATTTGAAGTTTTGATCCCACGTTTAGAATACTTTGAATGGTTACTAATTTTATTTTGGATATACGGTACTATACAAGCATACACAACATTACTACCTCAGGTTGTATAAACATAAATGGTTCTCAGTGTACTTGCAAATATACTTACTATCTTGTAGACGGGGTCGTTGTTTGAGTATTTAATAACGTTTCATTGTATACTATATTCATGTACTATATTAGGACGTCGTTCCTGTGTCAGTATCATTGTTTTCAAATACGTGCACGGAGAGCGCAAGAGCCGTTGACAACTACGAAGAAAAAGAGTCAACACAATCCTCTCGATAACAGATATACAATTTTTGTCCGTTTAATTCGTCAACCTAACTCAGACCACCAAAAGTTTCAGCCTATTTCGCCACTAAGCCGGACCTCTACTATATGTCACTCTGAATGTCTACATAAATGATGTTGCTTTTGAAAATAATAACTTTTCAGTGCATACCAAACACTTATTCATTCGCGGAAATTGTTAATAGTAGCAAATTGTTTATTTGACATCTCTAAATGTAAACGGGTATTCATGTTAGTACTACACATTTTAAAGTGTATGACCTCGCTTTAATTTCCGATGGATTCGTATCATTCAGCAATATTTATCACAGAAAAAAGCATTTTTTTTCAATATTCAGTCTGTCGTACAAGGGAGATGCACGGTGTTTGGTGATAAAAATAATCTTCCACGACGAAAAATACCCAAAATGCAACGTGAAAGTGAAAAAATCGAAACAAATTGATCCGAACGTGTTATATATTTGAAACTGAGAAATACACAGAGCATATCACAAATGTTCGCCCATTCCAACGCTATAGTTCAACATAGGGATAAAACATATGCTATGTAGGAAGTGTCAAGTTATCAATACAATTATCAATATCAACAATACATTCCTATAATATTGATAAACATTGCGCAAAATATATCTCAAAAGCCCTCATATCCATATGACTAGTTATTAAGCGTGACATATAATTGAAAAAAAAAATCCGAAATGCCAATCATATTGAGAAACATTACACAAAATATATCCCACATGTCCACCTATCCGGTCACCTAAGTGTGGCAACAAAAATTGAA